TAAGAGCTGAAGACATTTGAACACTAAACAAAATTAATCGAATGTGATCCTTCAGGACATACGGAATTCAACACCAATAGAAAACGACCAAGAATTCAATAAATATATTTTCCAAACATGTTAATAAAGATTTAATAGAAGGAACAAATTTGTTGACACATCATATTTTGGAGAATAAAACATCGAAACAGTCACACAATGCAACATTTCCAGCTGATATTACAATATTTCTTATTGTTTATTGTACTTTTTTTGTAAACAATCCTATGTATCGTTTATAGTGATTGGTTGTTGTACATGAGAAAGTCGAATGTTTGATGACGTTCCTGTTCTTGTGTGGGCCAGATGGACTATATCTGTGATGGCAGAATACATACTAAACTTGCACAAAATGATGTATTTCTTACTGTCGCTGATATTGGAGATTCGAGTAAGAATTATTTATAAGTGTGAGGTCGCCGTTGGAATTTAACATTGTAGACAGGTTACATATGTATACATAACCATAAATTGGCATATATTTTCTTTAATATATACACTGCGAATATATGATACTTTTACATTGGTAGATTACACGTCGGCAATTCCTTTTCTCTACAGAGAAAAGGTGCAGATTTCTGTCTCCTATGCAAATGATACAGCGGTAATACTTTTGCTGTTTGTATATATGGTATGGTAGAAAACTGGCATCAAATATTTAAAATAAATCTTTTTCAGTTTTGTTTGTTTTCAAGCGTGAAGTGATAAAACTTTAATCGTTGATTACTTCAAATGTATATATTTCTACAGCCATACCATAAAAGCGTTTAAGGTATGACTGTTCAATACAAGGTTTGTACCAATTTTCCCGATGTTTATGGACTTTTACTATCAGAAATAGCTTGATGATCAAAGGACGATTTTAACGATGAAAAGACCATGGATGTAATATTGTGTTAGATGTCTGGTCAGTGTGCATTTAGAGCACTCATCATCAGAAAAGAATATCTTGTTTTATTATCAGTTGACAATTTTTTTTCACGTCAATGGTTTACGATATTTTCAGAATTGTAAAGTGTCATCCTTCCTTTAATTGAATATAATTTGATTTTGCTTTGAACGTAATCATGCCATATTCTCTCAAGATATCAAAAATGTGTGTTCCACTGTGATGTTCCAGGCGAGGATCACATTCAGTGACGAAATGGATGATACATACATTCCCGAACGTAAATAAATGATGTAACGGCTTATAACATACCAAAATGTAAAATGTTAATATATTATTACTATCAATCTTGTTTATAACGGATAACACCATTGTTGATGGTTGTTAGTGTTTCAATCTCGACTTAACCGCACAACTGATTTGCCGCCGTTGTATACGTGGTATATTATTTATCTATTAAATCATGTTTCATGCATGATTTGGCGAGTATTGATTCTCTCCATTGGAAAAAAATGTAACAACCTTGGACCTCCCTATGTAAAAGGAACACGAAAGAATATCATTTTGTCGTGAAATATTATATTTCCTTATAACAAATAACCTTGTCATTAAAAATCCTATTCATCATGCGGGAATTACATGTTTATTATATCGAATCCAGAATTCTGTAACACGTTTAATTATATGGAATATTGGCTCAGTTCAGAATATACATATATACGTAACATTCTTTTTCAATTATCCTATATCAAAAATTATGACTTTCCTCAGTCGCGTTCTTTTAAGCGTCAACAATCTATAACCCAATTAACACTGACGAATCCAAAAAGGACGAACCATTTAACTAATTTTTGACTCCATTGTATCTAATTCTTTTTATGTGGTATTTACTTGTGTTTTTTGTTACTACATTATTGATAAGATATAGTATTGTCAATCAAAATGGTCTATATGAATCCACTTTTTCTGGAGAAAATGTTTCGAAATATTCTTAAACCCCTGGCCCCACATATATAAAACATCTCAACTTGAGATTTCCTCAAGTCGAGATTTTCCTCAGCTGATATCTCCTCAAAAACGGCTTGTATAAAATTTTCTCAATGAACAGGAGGAAGACATCGGCTAGGATGTCCTGAAATTCCTTGAGGAATTTTCATACAAGATATTTTCAAGGAGATATTAGCTGAGGAAAATCTGGGCTTGAGGAAATCTTAAGTTGAGATGTTTTATACAAGTGGGGCCAGGTCTATTATCATCCTGTCACTGTACTGTTATATCCTGCCTTGCACATAAACGTCAAAATTGGTCATAGAATTATCGACCAATATTTGCATTGCAGGTGTTGTCAATGAAGTAGAAGACGCTTACCTTTCGGAATATCTGTTAATATTCACTTCGTACTTTTTGGGACCAATTCGAATAAATTATTCCCTGTTATGTATTTGTCCCGTTCCACCATTTTTAGAATATTTTTTTCGATTTCGTTAACTTGTTTTCTTGTTACTTTTGTTCATGGTCGTTCCTTTGTTTACATTTTACCTTCATTTCATCGTCAACAAAGGTCTTGACTCATAACTCATAGATTTACCTTCTGGTATTATTACTCATTATCGACTGTTTCACTAATAACAAATTGAAAACATACGCAAATTATTCACAACAAACACACAATATACATTTCCATTAATTTTATTTTCATGACTTAATTTACATATTCATGATTGTCTATATCAACCCTATTTCTTGAAACGATATCTGGATTTACTCATGTTTATAACATATTCACACATTATGAATATGTATGGTGCATAAAACTTGAGTTTAAAAAACACATTGTCAAAGATTATTGTACAAACGTATATAACGCTTACATGGAAAATTATCCAATTTGGCAAGAAACTATATTTTTTGGCAAGTGTTATTCATTTGTAAAATTCATGTTGTATTAATATCATTTATAAAAACAATTTTCAATAAAATATTTTTAAATTTAAAGTTGTTTTGCTATGATTACCAAATTTGGATTAATACAAACCTGTTTAAAGTCTCTTACAAATGTAACTGAATATTATAAAATATTACGTCATTAAAATATAAAAATCTATAATACACTTCACACAGTGATAAGGTTATGGCACTAATTCACAGTTATAAAAATAAATATCATACGCGCTTCCATTCATCATCATTTACAAAGCATTCTTTTTCACTTTACCCATAAATAGTCATCTACTTACCGAACATCGTTGTAAATATATATAAGGCCTAACAACTCCTAGTTTCGGAGCTAAACACACAAGACTTAAATGGAGAATTTTCAGATAAAACATAAGTACATAAGTCCTAAAATATATATTGATATTTATACAGCTGTATCAGTGCCAAATATCCCGGCTGTTGGTGCTTTCAACCATATAATTTGGTCAGTTGACGGGTCGTGAAATACAAAGGAATTTAAAGACATTGAACCAAATCGTGTGATTTGGTTGAGCTTTCTGTAGTTACTTGACCAAATCTGTTTCTGAGTAATTCCATTACTTTTTAAAGTTAACAGTGTGAAATATTAGTAGATGGATTAAGAAAACCTTTGCCTTTTTATACTTGTAATATCAAACATGACCGATAATTTCAGGAAAAAATGCAAATTGACAGAACAAAATGAAACGTTTAAGTCATAACTTGCTATCAAAAAATTCCTGAATTACAAACGACCGACACGACATTCTTCGCGGTAACACCACAATTATGTTCCCTAAAGAAGTTACCTATCTTATGATTTTAAAACGAGATGATCTCTAAACTAAATCATAAGTGAAATTGAAATATCTCCCAACTAAAATGTAAATGTTATCAAGATTATGTCTAAGCTAAATTGTAAATTGTATCGAGAAAAGTGATTTCCTTAGTTTTACCTTCTTATCAAAAGATCCTTTTAATGTAACCGACTGCAGAGAAATTACAACGGAGGTAATATGTGAACGATTATGTTTTGATGCTGACAATTGGCAACACATAGTTATATGAATAACAATTGTGACGACAAATTTGTGGAAACGATTAAACTTCGAAGTCTATTTAGAGTGGAAACCCACATAATAAAACTGATATTACGGCACCATGCTCCACAGGCAAACCACCCAACACTTCAAATTAGTAACAAAGGTAGGACAATGCATTATGAATTTTATAAATATATTCTCATTGCAATATATTACTCATTGAATGAAGGCGTGACGAATTTACTGACAGTGGCAATTGTTATGATATGTTTCTGGACGATAGTATAAGTATCAACTGTATCTAATTACTCATAATTTTAATAATCATATATTTTTCATCTTATATAATCATTGAAATATATATGCATATATATATATATAGGTATGAATCACAGGTTTATACCATATAAAACATTCGATATTTACACACAAAGTTATCTACAAACAACTCTTCTTAAACTCTCAAACCAATTAACACTTGTTAACGCGTAAGATTTCACTTTCTTAGCCCTTGAACACTTATAGAATTAGCCAACAACATCATTTCATTTAATACTGGTCCATGTTAACCATGTCTACCTTGACATTTAAATTCTTAAGGAAGGGAACACAACTGAAACAAGCATTTGGTAACATTCAATGTACTTCATGAAACAAAGAACTGAACACAAAATATAATGAGTCGTAGTTTCGTATTTCCTGAGGTAGAGCTGTGGTTAATACTGCAGACCACGTTTCGTATGGAAAGTTTGATGAGCAAGATATATCAACACTTGCGTGCGTTCATGATAGTTCGGTATTCATCATTTTGAATCTCGACGTGATTTGATTTGAGTATATACTGAACCACTATTTGAGTATGGAGTTTTAATTGTTGGACTAAAGATTGAGGATGTTGTTGCGAGACTTGCTAAATACAGGAATCACGTGTTCGACATGTCTACCTCCAAAATTTATCTCGTGATTCCATTCAAACCAGCACTCGTTCTTCCCATCGCTCTTCAAAACATTTCCGCCGTGTCCGTCACATCTCAATCCTATACACTCTAACGTACAAATGAAATTAAGCGCTGAGTCAATTTTTGAAAATCAATTAGCACCAACTGCAACAGTACTTAAACTGGAATTGTCCGAGTGAGGAATGCCACCAACAGACACGTGACCACCGTGTCCATGGAGATCTGACTCCATCTTAACCGGAACTGCCTTGGGTGGTGACGGTGAGGAATAATGCGTAACTGCGGCTAGGTTAACGGGACTAGATAGAGAAGAATGTTCTGAGCCAACAGCTGTGAGCGGTGTTACACCGGAAGTAGGTCCAAGAAGGGCGGTGACATTAGTTCCGTTCATCGAGGGAGTGCCATTTCCACTTCCGGTCACATGTCCACCTTGACCAGAAGACACATTATTGTTGTTAATGGGAGAATGGGCAGGTTTTATATCTGCAATTTCAAGAACAAGAACAAAACATTAATTATTTTCAAGTATCAACATCAGTAAAGATAATAAAAGCATAATCGAAATAATACTAGGCTTTTTAAATTAACTTTAAGCTATTTAATAACTTGCTAGGAACACTACAACATATAGATAAGCTAATAAAAGATAAATATGAATGTCCAGTGGTAAACAATGCACAACGTCACTAAAGTAAAAAATATTAGAACATTGTTATCACAGCCATTTTTTTTTTTTTTTTTTTTTTTGTAATATCGACTTTTTCTCTTAATTTTGTTGAAATAATGAAAATTCCCTGTATACTGCGTTTCTAAGCAACAAAATAATGTCTTAGTTTGCTTTGCCTTCGTCAATTATTTTCGTTTTTTAAACAAAATTTATTTTCCTTGGCCCAACTGTGTCATTGTAATATATTTCGTGAAAACGTAGTTACTTTTTCTCGATTCAGCTGTGATAATATCGTGTCACTCCATACAAATTCTGTCTTGGATTTCAAATACTTCAATTTCTATCCGTTATATTGAGTAAAAGAAATTACGAATTAGATTTCAATGGGTTCACTCGCCGGGATATTCTTATCCTAAAAACATTTATGTATTCTGAGGGGAGTTTTAATTGGCTGCACTAAGGACTCCAGATAAGAATTATTATCCAACAAGACTCGTATTGTTCACGATTGCAGCCATGTGGCAAGAAAGTTTGAAAGCTAACATTTGTCTTTTGATAATTTATAAAATTATATTTACCATTTGGTAAAGAATGCCGCTGGCTTCACTTGCTCATATCGTTTTAATGTGTCAAAAATTCGATAGGTTTAATAACTTATCTTATAAAATATTTCTGCTGATTGCCTCATTTAGATTTCTAGTTATTTTGACATCCTATCAGATTCCATCATACAGGGACGAGAGTGTGAATCATCTGCATGTTTTGGTTACAATAGCAAAATATAATGTATTATTCTGGCATCTTGGTATCAAGTAAACAGAGAAAAAAAGGAGTAGTAAGCATATATCATCTTTCTTAAAAGAGGTAAAAAATATGACTTTCAAAGAAATAAAAAATATATAAATTAAATTTAATACAATAAAGGTTTGTATGAATTCATTATAAATATCAAATTATATACGTAATAAATAGTCATAAAGTCACTTGATAATGAATATTCATAAAGTCACTTGATAATGAATATTCATAAAGTCACTTGATAATGAATATTCATAAAGTCACTTGATAATAAATATTCATAAAGTCACTTAATAATGAATAGTCAAAAATGCACTTGATAATGAACATCCATAAAGTCACATAAGATTGCAGAATATGATTTAAGAACATCTTTGCGTATACTAAATCACTTCTTACTTACAAAAAAACATTAAGAAAATACCAACATAGCAACGTAATCATAATTCAAATCCAATAAAACTAAGGCAAAAGACAAAACCCGACATGTTAACCTTGGTCAATCCAAGTAAGTAATGTCACGTTCTCAAATGAAAAAAATATATACAACAACGGAACCAACAGGCAAACTAACTAGCATCAAATACGCCCCGTTTAATAGCACACTAAGTAATAGAATATTTCTCAATGATATCATTATGCCGACCATAACTTGTGATAATGGGAATCGGCCCTTGAATATCGAATCAACTGTGACATGTTAATACCATAGGTTGAAGATAACAGTGATATTGCTATCCATAAATGGGAAAAATTCAAGGTTATTGCTTGTCCTAAAACGTATACCAATCAATTAAACGATTCCTATCTTAAATTAAAAACGTCTCGTGACACATGGTCAGCTGGCGGTTTGACCTATGCAATGTAGCCCATCCCTGTTTGATCAGCTGATATCAACAAATATAGCATATTAGCTACAAGCGCCAGTGGTAAGATACAGAGAGACCAAATACAAAATGTTTAACCACTTCACCCAGCAGGACTAGAAACAAGACACATATTGGAGTTTATAGTGTCCCGGCATGCTGTCGAAACCTAACGAGCCAATTTATGGTAGAATACGATGTCGTGAAACCGGAAGTAGTTAATTTCAAAGTCTAGGTCCTTGTTGGAAAGCATTTTCAGTCTTATCTCCCCTTATCATAATATTGTTCTTCTCGAAATCTAATCTGTCTGATGAGTATCTCTGAGAGATTCAGTGGGTGTTACCTGCAGCTGAACAAATGATAACTGCCGCAGTTTAAACTAGATAACCCTACCCTACTTTCAAAAAAAAATGTACGCAAATAAAAACAAGCCCATTATCTCCCTACAAATCAACCAATTTATATATCTGGAGCACTTTTTCAAATAAGAAAGAAATATTTTGAAAAGAGACTAAATTTAAGCTGGCTAAGCATTTTTATTGGTAGAATTATTAATTAAAACGTCATAATGTTTTTTTTTTTTTTTTATGTGCGTCGCATCAACAGTGACTAGAGAATACTAAACAGTCACAAATCCTATGATAAACTGAAATTTTACGAAACCTGATCCAAAATTGGCAAAATTAAGATGAACAAGAAAAATAGAGCCATGTGTTCCTCTAGATTATACTATTTTGGCGACTGGCACTACGAACTCGTCGAATGACTGGCGATATTCGGAGAAGACAGGTAAGAAAACATAACTCACCGTTTTGTTCGGACTTTGGGGCCGATTTATTCTTGGATAGACTTTTTGGTTTTCTTTTTCTCGTTTGAATACCGTCCTTCTTCATAGCCAGTGGCCGATTCACCTGGAAATTTAGAAAATAACTTGTTTTTACCATTTACTTCACAAAACATTCGCTGTATCATTTGTATTCATTTGTATGGTAGTCATGTGACGTGAAGGGGTGATAGCGATACGCCAATTTCTATCTACCAAGAAAACGTTGCTATAACATAAGTGCATGAGAATGAGATTTATATAGCTAATCCTGAAACTGTTGATTCAGGGAGACAAAATATAGCACGTTTCAAGGATGCAAATTAATCAACACTACCGGAAAAAACCGTGACTCTCTCGCATCAGTTAATAAATCATACAGAAGTTCTTCAATAAACTCAACATTATCAACCTGTGATTTTAAAACAAATTTATCTATAATATTGCTTTAACAAATGATTCTTATTGATTTCATATAAAAAAAAAAGGTCTTAAGAAAATCCTTACCCCGTGTAGTTTGTAGTACAGCCCACAGGCGTTACAAACGGGCTCTCCTTCGTTGTTACGACGCCAGAGGGTAGTTGTCGTTGTGTGACAGTTAGCGCATGACAACCCAACACGTCGAGAAGCGGACTAAAATAATAAAAAAATGATCGTATTATTTCAAAACTTGAAAAAATATTATATTGGAAGAAGATAAGAATAAAATCTTAAAATACACCATACTTTTTCATCTAGTTTATCCTGAGTTAGATTTTTAAATTCAAACATAATATTTCAATTGTGTTAAGAAAATAACAACAACAATTATACAGCTGTGTGCATAATTTTTTAACTCCTACAGACTTAATTTAATGTCGTAGATTTGAATTAGACAGTTTAGTCTGTGAGTTTGCACCAAGTAAACTATATCCACTTACAGTTTGCAACACAGTTCCCGGACGCAACTCGAGTGTGCATATTCAGTTTTAACAATCGACGATACAAATTTAAGAGGTCTCTTTATAAGATAAGATTTTTTAAATTTCATTTTAGTAATAAAATCAAAATAATAATTATGGTTGACCGAAGTTTATCCCTGTTCATTACACTTCATCAGCCGTAGAGGAGATTATCTTACAAAAACAAAAATCCAAATCACGTGATAAGATTTATCAGAGATCTCTTTCGAATCCACTTCAGATTTATCATTTAATCACAAGGACCACCTCCGAAACCTTCCGGTACTTGTTTGGGTAAATACTTCGATGTTATCGGCATTTATCGTTATAGAGTGACGTCGTTATATTAAGATATTTGTAAATGGTGTAAACTAAAAAAAAAAAAAAGAAAAAAAAACGACGCTGGTGTCGTGGATCCGGATTTTACTCCAGCTGGTTGGAAAAGTAATAGTTTACACAAATAGATAAGATACACATAGTATTAACCTAGACGAAGAACGCCTTAAACATATCAGGCTGGAAAAGATTGCCAGTTAAATGTAGCACGAATTTCAAAAGCTATTGCAGTTTCGTCATAAATTTCCTTATCTGATCAACTAAATTGCGATTCAATTTTCTTTTCCAGTGCTTCATGTATTTAAAATGTAGATTTTAACCTTGTTTAAAAAATACTTCAATTATCTCCGAACGTAACGCGTAGCTTACATAATGTGTACGTATTTGTATAAATTGTGAAATGTCGCTGTTACCCTTTACCGATAACAATCTGTTTTTAGTGGCACGATGGAAATCTGCAGATCAAATTGCAATTTTTGACATTAAGAAAATACAAGCTCTCACCGTCATCTTCATAATATGACGTTGGCAAATACAGATATAATTACCGATAAAAACAAATATTTAAAATGAACAATGAGTGTTTTCATAAAACGGAGAAATTTTCACATAATTTCTATGTTTTTATCATAATAATTAATCTTTAAATAAATGCCAACATACTTATGTCTTCTAAACCTACCGGTTTTTGCTTTATTTTTCAAGGGCGTAGACGACACACGCTATGTTTGGACATGCGCAGTACGGTCTTAACGGTCTTATGTCAATAGTTTGTGTACTGTAACAACTCCTGGCATGCGAAATATTGTTTAAATTTTATTTTTTCTCAGCCACCCTCGAGGCTGGTGAACCTCCCGGTAACGTTATGTACAAATCCATGTTAGAAGTCGCACGGTATATCAAGCTAGATTTAACGCTTCACACAGAATTACCAATAGTCGCTTAAATTGTAATAGTTTTATGATTACTGCTGATTTTTCTACTTCAGTATGGAACACTAATTATCCTAAAACTGAGTGCAGAATATTTCTGCACTTTTACAGACATTTGGTTCAGAAATATACAACTGATATAGAAACACGGGAAGCTGAATTACTCGGTCATCAATTTAACTTTTGTAGACTGGTTTTGGTATTTCATTACAATACAAACAATAATAAACGTGAAATATATATAGACAACAAGTCCGGTCGATATTGTTTTAGCTTTAAATAAAACAAGGTATAGACCTCATCTAAAACCTATAATTGTATTTTAGTATTTGGTGTTTAAAATATATTAATGTAAACATGACCGATTGATAAAAAGCAATCAAATATCTCTGCCTTCATATTGGATATGTGCACATGCAACCGTGACACATGTCCACTACGATCCCGATTATCACTTACGAAACAGATAAAACATGTTTTCATGTCTCGAGATCAAAAGATGCTTAGGACAGCTATTTATGAATTAGGAAGCAAGAGCTTTTTCGCCATTAAAGAGAGGCATGAAAGAAACACAAGCTTGTTTCCTGTCGAAGCAAACTCTAACAGAAATGCATGATAGACCACGAAACAGATTCATCAGCTCTCTTCTCTCATTACTCATCCTCCGTATCCTTCTGCATGCGCTCAGTGCGACCAATCAGAATCAAGATAACAGATGGGTTAAGAGTAATGATGACAGCGCTCGTGAGGTACCCGACGGGGTAATGTGTTTGTGTTTTCCCGCCGTTTAAAAGCAACAGAAATATTTTGATGATCGCAAGGTCGAGATATCATTATATTTACATTAACTCATCCATTCAAACCTACCCCTGGCCTCAAAATATGAAGAGATTTTGCACGCACTCCTACATAAACTTATCAGTATTTGTTTATTTTCAAAGGATACAAGCGTCTGTAAATAAGTTAGCATAATGTTTGCTAAATATTTACAGGAAAAGTCTGTAATCAATCATTTTAATTTTTTTGACCCGTCATCGTTAAAATCAGATATTGTCATCGTATTTGTTCACACTTCCTTAGAAATAACATCTCTTCGCCATAGCAAAGGTTTGATAAATACAATAATACATCTGGTACGAGATAAAGACTGTTAAGTATACAATCTCATCTAGAATGAAGGATAAATATTTTCTTTTGATGTCTCTTTGTTCAGCTAGCTTTTAGTTGTTAATGATATATCATAAGGCATGCAGAAAGAAAGAAACAAAAAAGGAAGAAAAAAGAAAGACAGAAAGAAAGAAAGACGGAAAGAAAGAAAGAAAGAATTAGTTAAGGGGTTACTTTAGAGCGGTTGTCCATGGGACGAAAGAAACTAATTCTAGATAAAGTTTATATAAAACATATGAGGAAACTAAGCAGCAGAAACAAAAACATTAATGCATTGTAAATGAACGGTAAGGGAAATAAAAAGGAAAACGTGAAAATAAATCAAACGTACTCTAGATTTTCCTATCGCTTTGGGTCCCGTTGTCCACGCCCCAAAAGCCTGCAGAGAAGGATCCGGGGTTTGGTATTGGGGACCCGAGGGATACGTCTCGCCAAAATCCCCCTAAAATGTAGGCAAAATTTCAAAAATTAAAGTTTTGTTTCCTTTTGAAACACGAACAATTTCCACATAGAAACTAAATCACAAATATGTCCAAATGATATAATATACCGCGACGTCAGTTTCAGTCCCTTTCATTGTTTTCTGTGATACTGAAGTCCCCATATGAAATCCTAACATAGTCTTATGTCTGAGAAAACTATCAAATCCATATCTGGTTTTCGATTTGAGTTCCCTAATTTTTTGGCCCAAACATCAAATGCAAACATGTTTTTGTTTTTGTGAAAACGAACAAACATGTTACAAAGAAAGCAGATTTGAAATGTTTCAAAGATTCAGACTAACCAATCGCCTCTGGGGCTTTATGAGGGGACGATTTATTCCATTCATCTTGTGGTAGAGTCCACATGCGTTACATAAATAGTGCCCGGTCCCGTCCCGTCGCCATAACGGTGTAGATATTGCTCCGCAGTTGACGCATTCCCGCCCTTCCAAATCCGCAAAATAGTCCTGGTTATCTGGTTGGGATATGAGAAGAAAAAATATAATTGTATAAAATTCTATTTTATACTTACATAAGATAATGAGGAATATTCTGGGGTGTACATCATTCCGGTCAGCGCTTTCGTAGGATCTATATAGAGAAATAACAGTTTGTCACAAAAGGTCAAGCGCATGCAAAATTAGAAAAAAATAAGGTTAAATACACAAAGTTATGAATTTACAAACATTTACTAAAAAGAAATTTCTTAATATTTGATACAACTTAAAAATGCAAATAGCTCTAGATTGTAAATATACGCTGTATAGTAAAGTACCAGATAACACTATCGAGTGGCAAGTTTGAATAGGACAATCACCAGCACCTCATTCATGCAAAATAAATTAAGATAGCTTAATAGTAAACAATTAGCACAGGGCTGAGGATTTCCACAACACCATGAACTCTCTAAGTATCAAATTAATCATTATTATGCCACGTTTCATTTGATGAAACATTCAATTATTCTAATTTCAATCTAGTATTTGTTTATTACAACGACGATGACATGCACCATAAATGGACAAGTTAAACACAATTCCTCAAAGAAACTTGGGTAATCAACATTACTAAGCAAAAACATTCAGCCGGAAATAGTTTTGTTACTATAAAAAGAGGGACAATTCCGGAATGTGCAGGTTATCAAACAATAATCTTGTTTTACATCCTATGGGGAATTGAGCTTTTACCGTGTCACAATATTTTTTCTACATGAACTTTTTAATGTTAACTTTCATTTTGTTGAACTGGATCCAAAAATATTATTTGCAAGAAATTGTTGTTGACCGGATGTAACGTAATGTTTCAACTGTTGACGTCATTACACTGTTTGAATGTACTTTTATCAACAAACTGTTGAACAGATATTTTGCTGCATGAATATTTCTTTACTACAAAGATTTTCCTTTTAAGAATTTAATGAGCTTGTGTTATTTGCCTATTGGTGTGTTGATAAAAAAACAATATAACCGCATAGCATTTAATGGCGGGTTATTTACGTCAAATAAATAAAATAAATTTTTTATTACGTTCACCTACAGAAAAATATGCGTGTTTTTTATTATCCGTGTCACGTATAAGTAGTGTTTTTTATTATTATCATTATTATCATAATTGTTATTTTTTTACCGAATTTGATGACGTCATATTAGTGAATACCTATTGACTACTATTTTAATCAATCAGTTCTGAAGTTGTCGGTAACGTCATATTAATTATTACTTATTGACCAATCTATTAATCAATCTGAATCTTCTAAGCCAGTATATACATATGATCTCCCTTTTATTCCAGAAATTTGTCGAAACATTGTCCCGCCCCCTCCCGGAGTGTCTCATTACAATGTCACGCCCATTCTGTTGAGACGTTCTCAACATAGTTAAATTTGCGTGAGCAAATATTTCTTCTTCCATAACATGAAAAATTCCGAAAATTTACGAGTGTTTTCACATTTTCCCTTTTGCTTTTTTTATAAAGTATTATACATTATCAGAGACATGAAACATTATACAGTCTGTCTAATGATATAATTAATCCATTAAATACTTTCATAACCCTTGACTCGAGGCGAGGCGGAACCCAATTCATCAGCCGGTTTTTCCAATTAGAATCTCCTTGTGGTCGGAGTGGCGCCGACGTCTCGTGAGACGATAATTTACGAGGTATCACGAGATTTGTTTTCACTCAATGTAAAACATTGGCTTGCTCTACAATAAAATTAGGTTAACTCTATCATTAGCGCGTGACAGCTAAACTTTTGTCATGTACATATGGTCCTTTTCATTTGGTCTTCTGGTTTTATTGGATAGTACAACTTCTCGCGTACAAACATGTTAACCACGAAATTAAACTGCAACATGAAGATATTTTTTAACAAAGAATTATGCTCATTGTTCAACGGGTAAACGGGATATCTGTCGTTTAAATGATACGTTTGAGAAACATTGACATTAGCATTTGCATGTGTTTATCATAAATGTTCGCTTTTATCGCTGATATATGATATAAAAGCATCCATGACGGTTTCGATTCGATTGTCGGCTGATACTAATAATATCCGGCAATATCTTTTTTTTTTTCATGTTCTCGTGACATCAAAATTGACGAATGACGTCATTGTTGTTTGCAATTTGATGTTATAACTGGGAATGGATTTACTCTCCACAGCTTCTGTCTATTAATAGGAATTATAGATATTAATTAAACAATACGGTCTATTAAGAACTTTAATCCTTTTTAAATGGTATAAGGAGAAAATATATCAACTTGTTAAGATATTTAACATGAACCGGGCTGACTTATCCGCAACTTGGTAAGGGTTATTCTGGGACAGGAAATCTCGTCTTGCGGTTTCAGTTATTACGTATGTATAATTACAGAACAAATTGTTTTCCGACAGTACACAAAGACTTCTTTGTTACGAAAGTGAATTATTTAGTTTTTATAACCTTCCTTATCTTTAACACTTAAGAGTTCCGTGAGCGGAACATTAATGTGAAAATCCTGGTACAGCACCTGTTTTAGTATAGCACTGCCTCATTTCGTTATGATTTATTTAAGACTAAATTAGACATCCGGATTTTGTATATTAAACATCATTTATTCTCATTTTTTACCATTTCCTTTCTCAAAAATAAACAGATGTTTGAAAAACCAGCACGCTTGGATAAACCTCTTTTTTTCTGAGTAACAATATCAATATAAATGAGAGTTCCAACCTAATTATGAATGAATTGGCGTAATTCATTACATATTGATTAATATGTCTCCATTAATTAATTAATTAATTATGAATTTCTTTAATTTATTATCTGTTTATTCGGTGTTCATTTTCTCTTAATATTTAAAATATATTTGAATAGATTTTCAACAAATGAATGAAACTCTGTATTTTACGAAAAAACATTTAATATATCACCATCCTTAATATCTTTATACATTTAACTTAAACCCCTTTTTTATTCGTTTCTTTTATCTTTATTGTTTCTTTGATTCTTATCATGTGACTTGAAACAAACCTTTTGGTGACGTCCTGACAGTTTTGACATTTGTAAACAGGATCTGAATATCAAGGATTGTCTCCAAAATTATCTGTTTACATTTCAACAATACTGTGATTGCAAAGGCGATAAGCACGGCAGACTTAAATCCGGGTTAGTTTTAAGCGTTTATAATAATACAAAGCGATATCAAAATATTGAGTTAGACCGAGTGAGAAAATATTGTAACGAGCTGTAAATGTGATTAAAATTACGCAGTCGTAATTCATTTCTGAAATTACACAAAACCATTTTTTATTTGAAACTTCTCAACAATTAAAACGTAAACAATAACCACATGATTTTTTTTCCTTTAGTTATTATAAGGAAAATAAAAAGCAAAGTTCATAACAAGTGCGGTCAGTTTTATTTGTAAATCTAACTTCCATTCGGAACACAGAAATATTTTCTCCGGAGTCACAGAGTGTACAACATCACTATAAAATAACTTTAAACCAAACCTTTAGTTGAACGATCAGATTAAATTTTGAAATTTTCCAACCTTTCTCTAATCATCTAGTACCATCTTAGGTTAAAACATATAAACTCTGGGGAATTCTATCTCCCTCACATGTGGTGATGATAGCGATAAAAGATACTACATCTTGCACAATTGGACTAAAATTTATATTTTTGTAGCAAAATAGTTTTCTGAAATATTTAGATTCTTGGTATGGGGGCTGGAGTTTTGAGTGTCATCTTTCTGACTGTTGGGAGAGATAGGCGGGAACCTTGTGGTGTGTCTAGGGGGCGCTGCTGAGATTACCGATAATTATCTAACCTCCGGTAACATTCGCGGTACACGCCGATCCGGAAAGATTTATAATCCGAAGGCGAAAAAAAAATGAAGATTATCAGATACACAAATCTGTAGGATCTTGTAAATGAACTTGGTCTGTTGATACCATTTTTAAGTTATGTTTTAAAGAAATATTTCTAGACACATCATTTTAAATATTGCGATTATGTAAATGATTGATGACTCCAATGAGGTTGAATATTTCGGTTTGAGAACCTCGAAAAAAATCATAACTTACGCCGTGATCAAATTACAAAAAAATGTATACGGTTTACTCTTACTGTCGAACCAGAGGAAATATATATATAAGTTTTAATATTCAGTAATGAAATGTATATATAAAACATCAATTAGATTATGATACAATGTATTTATGTCAGATATTCTATCTTAAAGGGCGTATGTGGTTGGAGTTTGTGTGTGTGGTGTTGTATTATCATTGATGATATCCGACGCTTTTTTACTATCTATTCCTACCAAACGTATTTCTTATTTTTTTTTTTAGTGGGGGGGGGTGTGATATTATCTATAATTAATCTAATTCAAGCTTAACCAACTACTTAATCCTTGTGCTCTTAAAAGGTAGATTGTAATAATGTGTAACATACATCTTAGAACTGTTTTTCGTTACTACGATGACCGTTTATCACACCAGAAACACAAATCCAAGATTCGCCCTTCACCTTTAGATCTTGTAACGATGTTTAAACAAAACAGTTAAAACGTTGACTACTGGAATCGACCGCGGAACATTGGATAAATTCAAGCTGAACAACAGTATTATCGTTCGTCGTCAGATTTAAGCTAAAATCACGATTGTTTATCGCAATTTACATCTACTTCCTCGAACGACTAGTCATCTGATTGTTTCTTACAATATAAAAAATATTTCGAATATTTTCTACATATAGGACAGGTATAATGACAAAGAGGAAATGCAAAGTTAGGCATAGAACGATAAACAACACTATTACACAGCGCAAAATACATGGCATCGCTTGAAAACGAAATGGTATGGATTTAGAATTGTGTAAAGAAGAATATTTATTCATTGTACATCAACAACGTTAAAGAAGACGAAAACATTCAGAATGGTAGTGGAAAGACTACTTAAAGTTTTGGCTCGTTGTGATCTTCAAC